CCCCCATAACACAGCACAGCCCTTATCAGAGCATCATTTGCTCTGATCCTCCTTCCTCCAGCTCAAAACCACGTCAGTTCTAAACCAACAGAAAGGATATTCCGTCTGCAGTTTGGGCAGTGTTTGATGTTAAGAAACTATTTTCCTACGAGAAACTGTGGGATCCACCCCCACCCAGGAATACTGCCAGATTTAAGGATAAGGGTTTTCATTTGGAAAGAATCCCACTTCCTATATTTAAAGTTATTAAGAGGTCTGGGCAAAAACGGACTGGTAAGATTTACATAATGCTTTCTGCCGAGTTATCTCAGAAGGAGATCTCTAAATAAACAGAGAAGGAGCACCATGAAGTGAAAGGGAAGGTGAATGAAGGAGACAACAAGAAACAGTACTTTGATAGACAGGATGAAGAGCAACTTGGAGAAAGTGAAGTGCATGTCATTACTTTTTCCTGCAGGGACACTGCCGGCAGCTCGGGAGCCCTGCGATCTGGAATGACAAAAGCTGCTAAGCGAGGAAGGCCCACAGGAGACAGCGATAAACAGCTCACATTTTCTCCGTATTGTACACGGAATAAAGAGCCACCACTATTGTACTTAACTGTGGAGCTGTGGCAAGACCGGAACACATCACCCTAACCAGGAGGTTCAGCATGTTAACCATGATGTATTTAAAAAGGCCTACAAGGCCTACAAAGGCTGCTGTTCTAATACAAAGGTAGAACAGACGCTATAAATCTTACACCCTTACAGCCAGGCAGAGCCAGCATCTCAACTCCCTCCTCCCAGACACTTCCCTGTCCAGCCTGTTGAGTTAGCCAAGGTACTCGTGGTGTGAGCTAGCTCAGGACTTGGAGAAACTGCTCTCTACAGCACAGCATACTTCGCATATCATGTGGGCTTCAGCGAAGAGGACTGAAGGAACACATCAGCTGTGGCACTCAAGCTGCTCTTTAGCACGTAAAGGATTCTGCTTTCACTCCAAGTCGCTTACGAGGGCCTGGATTATCAGTATTTTCTCACTCTATTTCACCCCATGCTACCAAACTGCATGCTGGGCAGGGTTGTGGGTTCTACTTGAAGTGAAATAAAATGTAAAGTTAAGCTTAAGAGAACACTAGTATCTCACTAATAAATAAAAGCTTAAAAGACAAAACCCAGGAGGAAAACCAAAAGGTTTTGATACATATGCCACCACATAAAATCCAGTGGCTGAGAGAAAAACACATCTGGTAATTGCTATAGTCATTCAGGAATATTTCCAAGTTCCAGAAGGTGGCTAGGTGGAGAGAATGAGAAAAAGAGGGAAAAAGACAGCATTTTAGATGGTACAAAAATCTGAAGGTTAAATCTGCATGTTGCCCCAGAGTCTGGTGAATTTCTACACACGCTTCTCAACCCGAAATTTTACATTCTGTATCCCAGCCCTCTCGATTCAGAAATGCAACAGGACGTATAGCGCCTCAGAGTATATCTACCCTGCTTCCCTAGACAAGTTTTTACCTACAACAGTGAAAGATTCCCCAGGTCGTACATCCAGACCCGTGGGATGTGCTGCGTTCGCCAGGCCTGCAGCGCAGACACGCACCTACAGCCTGGAGTGCCTGCGGTGCGACGCACAGTTGAAGGAGGTACCGGAGAGTGAGGAGCAGATGCTCTGACTCAGCACAGAAACTGTTTTTTCCCAAGTACTTAAAATGTTAAATAAACAGGAAGTCAGTTAGGTATCAGGAAATTCCAGAGCCTTTAGCTCAAAGAAAGCCTAGATGAAAGGATACAATTTACATACCATCCTAGGCAAAAGTCTGTTGCTGAGAATACCTTAGTCTCAATTCCCTCACATGTCACTCGGGGGATAACTATCTGATGTGTAGATAGAGCACGCTAGTCTCCTTTTTAAGGGGAAGGGGGAAATCAAAAAGGGCATGTACAAGTACTTGATCACGTCAGGAAATGAATCAATCTTAGGGAAACTCACTGCTTTACTACAAGTCGTACTTACACGAGAGCTCCCTAACGACCCATCGTTTATGTTCCTGCTTCAGAAGCTCAACCCCAAAGTAATCTGCTGGGGACGAAGATGTTACAATAAACCCCTGTGTGGCCACCACCACCTCCGTCTGTGTAATTCTGACATGACTAGTGGTTCCCACTGATGGCTTTTAAACTGCTGACAGCTTGGAAAACAAACAACCCAGCACACCACCTGAAGTTTGGGTGAGACGAGCAACAGTGAACACAGGTCCAGACACACAGTTTAGGAACTGCTCCCTCTCCCTCCCCCCTAAAACAAAGACTTCAGAAATGAAAACATGGATGGGGAAACACTTATGTTAGTGATGTTTGACAACAGACATGGTATTGGTTCAGTAACCTAAACATGCTAGAACAATCAAACTACTCTAGGAGTGACTCTAGTCACTTACTCATAACAAAAAGCCTTTATTCATAACTTAATCACGATGTAAAACCAGTATTACAATGCTTTTCCCTTTCTCATTCCTACAAAACTATAATGTGATTGAAAGGGAAATCCCTTGAACAGATCTCTTCCTTCTAAGTTTTGCCCATTATGTACCTCCAAAGCCAAGGCTGTCTTGTCGTAGGCATTAGGGACTCGCTTCTGGATAACCCGGGCATAAATAGGGCCATTCTGAAGGTTAGGGAGCGGAGTGTTGATGCTGGGCTGGGCATAGGGCCCTGGCTCCGGCCCACCCACTGGTTGTGGGTGGGAACTATCCTGGTTACCTCCAATCAGAGTAGATACTGAAGCAGAGGAAGGTCTATACTTCTCGACGTAAGGAACAGGTATCATTCCCCTCTTCCCTTCGCTGTCTTCTGCATTCCACCATTGCTCTTCAGGTTTATCCCGGATTCTCAGTATGTCTCCTTTCTTAAACGGAAGATCTTCTTCATCGTTCCCATTAAAGTCAAAGAGAGCTCGCACATACTCCGCTTCCTCCTGCCTGAGGAGCACGCCACTATTCTGCCTGGATCGGGAAACTGGTTCTATCAAGGTTGTAGTGTCCAAATAGTGTATTTTGTAGAATTCCAGTAAAGCTGGCAAAGAATCAAACTCTTGGTCACCTATTCGAAATCTGGTGGGATTCAACCCTGAAAGAAGAAGGCAACATGTCAACGAGAGCATACAGCAGTTAAATGTACATTACAAACATTTGAGAAGGCAAATACATTTACAGATAAGTAATTTGATACTGAACTTGGGCATCTTTAGATCAACAGTCATCATATTCAGCTCCTCTGGGTACTTCTAATTGAAGACATCACTATTGTAACCGAGGACAGAGTTTTATTTTCAAAGACTTTGTCAAAGAAAAAGAAAAAAAATGGTACGGTACTACCAACCTTACCGAATCAGTAAAAAAATATTTTGTTTCCTTGAAGGTTACATAAACTCAACAGATAAAATGTTCAGTACATCTGAGTTTCTCAGGAGCCTATAAAATTTTCAGTAACAGACGATCCTTTCTTTCCTGGTTTTATACTCTAAATCTCAGAAGCAAGCAACACGTTGGTACAATTGGAAGGAAGCAATTTTTTTGACGCTCTTTTGGGGTTCAAAGTTCTTTCACAAGCACAACCCTGCAGCAACAGCTTTTTACCTGCTGGAACATATCCTGGGTTAGAAGCACGGACGCTACAGAAAACCGCTCAGCACAGCGGCAAACCATTCATGTGAATGAGAAGTTATTCTTCATTTTGACAGAAGGTGCCATGAGAGAAAAATACATGTATTCTATGCAATGCAAAGCAACGTACGTTTTCATAATGGGTATAATTCAGTCTTTTAATCTCAAGCCTTGTAGTTTCTTCATCATATTTGTCAGACGGAGCCTAAGCTGTAAACCAACACATTCAAACACATTCAACCACAGATGATGCTCGTGTTCAAGTCATTAGGAGGATCAGAGTGCAGATAGCCACTTTGGTTTTCAATCTGTGCTGCAATTTTTCCATTTCATGTTCCTCGGGCTCAGCTGGGGAAGAACACGCGCATGATGCTCTGTTTCCACCAGGCAGCACAGACTGTGGGATCAGCCATGGGAAGAGCCGCGGCAGGCTGGGGGAGGGCAGCCGAGAGGAAAAGATTCATGCTTTAATGAGTAACTCTTAGCGAGGAGGAGATGCTTACTTTGCAAGTCTGCTTCTCTGCAGGGAATATCTAACCCTTCTGAGACTCAGCTCTGGAGTACAGAGCTAGCAGAATTCTTCAGGCTGCCACTGATCCAAAACTCCTCCAAAGCAGCACCGTCAGCACGAAAAGCTAACGTTACAGCAAGTCCTTCCAAGAGAGCAAAAGGGGTTCTGATAGAGAACAGGGCAGAATCAATAAGAGCAACATAGACAAACACCCGACAAGTAAGTCTGGAAGGATAATCCTGAAGGATCATAAGCACTGGTGATGCTGGTTACAGGAAATTCAAAGAAGCAGAACTAAGGCATCAGAAAACGCACGTTTGCATGCACTAACAGCCCTGAAAGACCCCCAAAAGGAACGAGCACAAAAGCAATACCCTCAAAAAAATGACAGAAGACCAAAACACAAACTGGCATCGCCAAGAGATAAGGAAGCTAATGGAAATACCGGCAAGAAACACGAACCCAGTATGGGAAGGGAAGTAAGATTCACCTTATTCTCCCCCAAAATGAAAAGATGCAAAACCCCCTCAGCTTTTGTTGATGAGCGATAACTTACAGCTCTAGACTTGGCAAGAACACCAGAATTTCACCCCAGTGGCAGTTCTCAGCCTGTGGTGTCACAGGAGAGTCCCAGCGGCATCCCTACACCTCTCCAAAACAGCTCCAGTTCACTACATAAGCACATAATATGGGAATGCCACGCTTCCACTAGCACTGGAAGCAGGAAACCATGTTTGGTAAGAAGTGGTACAGACAGCAAGTTGCAGACAAACCTGGTGACAGAAGCGCGAGCGTGTCTCTGCTACGGTTTTAGATGCAAACCGTTAAGGATCAAGGCTTACGCAGACACGTCAAAAGTCATTGAAACTTCCCGAAGATCAGGGCAGCAAGGATCATTGAAGTCACATGGAAAAGAAGCTCAGGTATGTTCACTGACATGGAACTTATTTCACATGACAAACCTGAAGCCCAAACCACTAATTTACTGCTGTAAAACCTGCTACAAATCGGCTCCGTCAAGAGGCCGAGAGCTGTGTCTCCAGCAAAATAACTGCACACAGAAAAATCTCCAAGCTCCTAGGAAACGAGCAGTTCCACTGTAACATTCAGCAGCCTCGTCAGCACCAAATCACCACCAGGATGAACAAGGGGTTGGTCTTCCGAAGAGGTTCACCCCCTTGAATGGATGCCCAACAGCCTGGAATAGCTGCCAAATGTACCTCAACAAAACCAAGTTGGACTCCAAGAGGAAAGTCCACTGAAGCCTCATGTACAGGGGAAGAGTGACTGAGACCAGCGTACTGTATCCTGGAAAATCACCTTTTCAAGACATTTTGCACAGCTGAGCAGTGAAAGAACATAGACCCAGCAAAATACATTCTAGAATCAGCAAGAGCAACACAATCCTTGAAGGAACAAACATAAGCAGCCGGAGAGAAATGATCCTCGTAGAGAGAACACTCCCAGAATACCACATGCAATTCTGATGGAAAATCTCTGTGCAACAGCAAACTGACAGGCTTCATCCAAATGAATTAATTACCAGAGAATACAAAGGCAGCAACCTGGTCACTATGGAGAATTTAATGGAAGACTTGGAAATTCAGCTAAAACAGGTGTAAAAAGGGCAAAATTGTTGAAAGTCACAGTTGGAAATAAACTACAACTACACCTTACCAAGCAAGTGCTAAGCTTCCCACCAGTTTAAATCCTTCCTGCGTACTCTTGTTCAGCTACAAGCTAACGAGCTGAGCGGCGCTCACTTACGCAGCGGGGAAGTAATTCTGTTCACTACGGGCTTCGACATTCCGTCGTTCCCTGGCACAATGAAATTCAAAGAGGAACAGATTTCGGGCTCAGAGGAATTCTTCAACTTCTTGTTTGAACTGCAACACCCCTCGTCGCTGCAGGCCAACGGAAAAATTAAGGCAAGAACAAGTTACAGCAACAAGGCATGTGGCTTTGAGAAGCCGAGCTGTTTTCCTTCACGATTCAGTCTTCTTGAAGCCACGGCTTTGAGCCACACGCTGTCCGCATCTGCCGAGGGCTCTCAGGAAGAGGAGAAGGCGTGCAAAGGTAAATCTAGCCGCTGGAGGAACTTTAGTCACTTCCTACCGAGGTCGGACAACGGGAGCACTAGGAATGGTCTCCCGCAGCGCGGCACAGCTGAAGGAAGAGTAGTTGTCCAGCTTGCACCTCTACCCCAGCACGACCTGCTGTCAGCGGCTCCTCTGAATGAGAACACAAAGGGCTGAGGATCATCTCTCTTACTTACTCCATCCTAGCTCCATCTGGGCCAGGACTTAACCTGATTCCACCCTCTCCAGCACGTCAGACCAGCCGGAGAAACCTCTGCTCTCAGGAAGGTGAGGCAAGAGTTCAAACCCAGTGTCCCAGAATTAAAGTTTCAGATCTGGACCCTGTCAGTTCTCCGTGTATGACATTCCCTCCTGCCAAGACACCTTCACACTGGGGTGGCTTCACGACAGCCTGGGAAAGATTGCTTAGTCACGTTTCAATACTGTTCCGATACCGGGGAAGGCGAGGTATAAACTTCCCAGTATTCTGCTTCTTGAGAGGGGCAGGTGGTGTAACGGCACAGCAACCTCCCACCTCCTCAGACATCTCAGGGGTTCCACACTGCCCTCTTCACTCCCACTGTGCCAGGGCCGCTGGCAGTTTTCCCTTTATCCCTGAGCTCCGGCAAGCTTTGCTTTTCGGGGCAGGGAAAAAAGACCTTGCAGAAACACAGTTTTCATTTTCATTTCTAGATCTAGTCTGTAAGGGTCTCCCCTTCTCCACCTGACTTCACAAGGCACGTTTTGGGCAAGAAAAGTTGCTCTTACCACGCTGGGACACACGGATCTCATTTCAGAGACAGACATCCCAGCGATGTGAGCCAGTTCCCTCCTGGAGCATAAGGGAACTCTGCTATGAAGGCATCACATTCCAGCCCGTGTGTTCCCCCACCCCTCCCGGGACACCTTTCTTCCCTGTTCTCAAGTACCTCCCCTACTGCCTGAGCAAAACAAGCGAGCACCATGCTCGTCCCGTAAAACCAGTAAACCCCCATTCCCTGGCTCCTGAGCACACCAGGAAAACATTCTCACCCAAGTTACGCCCCTGCAGTAACCCAGGAGGGCAGAAAAGGAGACGTCTGATGCATACACTTCCAACAGTTTGCATTTTAAGACCTTAAACTAAAAGCCCGGACAAAGACCAAACCCCGCAGTGTCAGAGTTAGGCCACACCGCTCACACCTCTCCGAAGCCATTTCGAACAAGGCTGAGCATGGAGCATCACGTACGGATGATACAACTCCAGGAACTGCAGCCTGAACTTCCAAAGTCACGGCTGAGGTGATGTCGCAGCGTATGTTAGGCAGTGTGTTCTCAGAATGCGCGTTCCGTGAAGGCACCACCTTCCACACTCCCTCTGTCCCTCTCCTCCCACAGAGAGGAATTTCACAACTCTGCAAGGTTTCTGGCCTTATTAAACTTCCAGTGGAAAGCATGTATTTCTTCAGCTATTTTAGGCATATGTTTTAGTGCGTATCGTGCATTTTACCCAGATCCCTGTCACACAGCAAACATAGGATGCGTTTAAATATTCCCTTCCCTGCCCACGACCCTGCTAAGGCCTGCATGGAGCACCTGGCCTGGTCTGGATTTCCTTACCCTGCCACTGTGCCGTTTCACCACAAATGACACCCTAATTCCAATTCAGCTGTTACTCTCCATCTCCACTGGAAACAGAGTGGGTTTTCTTTCCCATAATTCAGTGTTTTACTCTATTTTCTTTTAACAGCCTTGAAACACTCCTGGAAGACAGCAGCTATTGCGAGACGTCTTGTTAAACCCTTTTCCTCAAGCTGAAAAATCACCCCCGAGAAGTCAGCAACTGCAGCATGTGAGGCAAAAGATGCATCTCACCAAAAATTAACGAGTTTATTTTACACTTCAGAAATGGCAAAAAGCACAACGGTTTTGTGACACTATGGCTTTGTGTGTTCGGGAAGCCCAAGCTCCTCGGCTCGTCCACTCCCCACGGAAGCTGGGTTCCCAGCACCCTCTGCACACACCAGCGCTGCAGCAGTCACGAACCGCCCACACGCTTCCCGAGACACAAGAACCAGCCCAAGAACCTGCCCCGGCACCTTCACATCTCCCAGCCAGAAGCGTGCCTCTGCCAAGCAATCAATCCCCAGAGCGCCTGCACGTTACAATCAGCTTAGCGAAGTCGTTATGCCCGGTGTTTTAGCCAGACCGCAATTAATTAACAGGACAATTGGCAAACATTTTACCACGTGAGTTTCCCTACCCAAACCATCTTCAATCTTCCACCGAGGTTTTCCATCCCCCTCCCACTGCAGGGCATCCCCACGCTTACTTTTTCCTAAAAGAAAAATTTAATTGCACTTTAAGTGTGATTTATTATACACCCCCACACACACCTTCTTTGGTTTGAGAGTGAAAAGAGAGCAATATCAGCATGGAGACATCAGTTACAGCTACTAAAATCTCAGCACAGTAACTCCTGTGGTGCAGGAGTGATGCATCACCCCCCTCATGACATCCAGGAGAAATAAACAGTCGTTGAAAGAGAGCAAAAAAGAGAGACCAACCAACACGTAATTGTACTTTCTAACACAAATTAAGCCCCCGGTACCAACAGCCGACACAGCCACAACAGCAGCCACTCTGCTAAAAGACACCCACGTTTAAACCAGAAGAGAAATGCCTAAGGGGCATTTAGTGCTTTTTGAAAATCAGAACACTGAAATTCCAGAACGTGTTCTCACCCATAACATCACCCAGCTTAACGCAACACAGCAAAGAAGTCAGGATGACTGCGTACTGAAGCGATACCACAGGAACACGGAAAGCACTGCTTTTCCCGAGGTGAGTTGCTCTCCAGAAAACAACTGCCCGGAAGCAACAGCCACAGGCGCTCCGGTGTTCTTCATCACTACTCCCTCTAAGGTCCTGTCAGGCTGGATTCCACAACCCACCGTCCTGCTCACCGGCTCTGCTCCGTGTAACGCCAGCCCCGCATCCCAGCGGTGCCCGCAGCAAGCCTCCACCAACACGGCAACAGAGCTCTGTCTTCACAGACACGAGACAACGAGGAATCCACGCGGCCTGCGGCAAACCGTTTTACAGCCCGCGGCAGTCATTACTTCCACTTTACCCCCAGCTGAACTAAGCCACCTTCTACCCTGCAGAGCTTTTTGTGACTTGAGGGCACTCCGCAGCTGTAGTCAGCTTATCCTGGGATAAACACGAGGAGAGCAGGCTTTCCCAAATCTGCCAATTTGAGAAGTCCCCCTGAGCAAGGGAAATCACTGTGTAACAGTGCAAACCTACTGGCAACGGTTTTGGTTTTTCTTAGACTATCTCCTTCTTAGCCAGCTACAGTCTGTGCAGAGACCGAGAAATCCTTTCCACAACAAGTACTGTTGCATCCTGTCAGCACAGGTCTCTCATTCCAGCCACGGATCTGCATCAGAAAGCGACCGTTTCTGTAGCAATGCATTGACTGTTCACTTTCTACCAGCAAATTCACCAGCTCTTACACAGGTTTACTACGCTTCAGGATTACAGCACTTCCTCTGCGCTGCAATACGCCCACAGCATTCTGCCAACATTAACATCCAACCTGGGGTAATTCCGCCACCAGGTTCACGATACCCCCAGCAGGGACACTGCCGCTTCGCATCACTCCCCGGGCGTGCGACACCTGAGGACGCTGCACTGCTGGGCGCTCTCATTCACCTACTCACACTCGTACTTGCAGAAACGCCGCTTCCCACGGTAGCCTTCCCTCTGACCCGTCAGCATCTTCTGCTCTACAAGCGTTAGGCAGTTTTCCTGAGACCGATGAGGAGTAACACCAAACCTTCCCTTTCAACACACATGGCAAAAATCCAGAAAGGAACATCACATCTGATTTAGGGGAACAATTGCCTTTACATTCCTGAGAGTTCCCACCACTTTAACGACCCACGTAACACGGATTTTTGACTTAAAACGCAGCCTCACAGCCTGCCTTCTCACGCCACACTGTCCTCTCCGAATTCGGACTTCCAGAGGACACTTACGTGAAAATTCCCAGGCTGAGATGACACGCAAAGTTATCAACGATAGTTAACTGATTCACGAAAACAAAAGCATGTGCGAGCGCTAGAGCGGCAGGATCTCTCGGGAAGGCTGCGACAAGCGCTCAGCGCCACTCTATGTTCAGGTGTATCAGGGGGTGGGAAGGCAGGTGCCGACAGACGGCTGGGCTCGGCTCCCAAACGCGACTTAATTCCACTACAAAGAGCTCCAACGACTTGAAACACGGCCCGGGAGGAGAGCGGAGCCGCCCGTGGGGAGGCGCTGAGGGGCTGGGCTGCCC